CAAAGTCCCAAACAAATGCCCGCTTAAACAATAAAAATGTCAAATTTACACCAAAGTTGCATTTAATCAGAATAAATTTAATGATCATCACAGTTATTTAATTAAAATAAATTTTATATTATTTAAAACAACTTTCATGATTATAAAGTTAATGTTAGATAAATGTGTATCTCCTAATAACAATTAAAAACAACTTAAAGCACTAATTGAAATAATTAACGACAGGACTAGATAGCATTCTCCCCATTCCTTCAATGGAGTTGGGTGAGAAGTCAATATCGTCCGGAAAAGAGAGCTGGGAGGGAAGGAGGGAGAAGCTAGACCTGAGATCAGCAAGACGTGAAAGCAACACCTAACAAAACAGTGATAATAAGTAGCTGGATTGGATTTTACTTCTTGTCAACCTTCAGCTCGTTGATCAAGTCTAGTGGATTATATTATTGTTTTAATCAAGAACTTAATGAAGGGTTGAATCATCGCTTTTTAATTGCTGACCAAAATCCATCCATTGATAATTTTGCTTAATTTTAACTTGAATGAGTCACTAAATTATTAGTTTTTTTTTAAATAAAAATAATTCTATAATTTTAATTAATTGCTTGTGTATTATTATTATTTTTAAAAAATAAATAACTAATAAATTTCTAAATATTTTCTCTCGAATCACATTTTTTTATATAGAATATTTAACAAAATTCACTAATATGAACAAATGAAAGGATATGCAGCAAGAGTTTTAAATTGATTTTATAAGTAAGAATTTTTTCTTATACGTTTTGATTAATTTAATACCAATTGTATGCACATGGAATATGTAAGATATTGAACCCGGAACATCTCTATATGTAAATACAAAATGTAAATGCAAAGAAGTTGAGTAAAATACCTCAAAAAAGAAAAAAAGATTTACATACATACCACTTATCAATTTCTATTTGTTACATATCTAACACATGGACTTCAATTTTTACATATTAAACATCTTATTTATATATGGAACTTGTCTTCCATTTTTAAAATAAATTAAAAAGTGATAATTTTTATGTGATATGAAAGATTTGGTTGAGAGAAGAGGAAGGAGCAAACTAACCGCCTTGAACTGTACTTATGAGACCTGGCTATTAGGTGGGTCGGGTTCACTCAGGTTTTGACTAAGTCAAAATAAGCTTGCTAGACCGAGCTTACAAAATTTTTATTCTTTTACAGTCAAGCCCGCACTTTCTAAGCAGGCTTATGGAGAGCCCATCAGGCCACCCGCCCAATGCCTAGATGGTCAAGCCTGCCAAATTTCTATTTTTCATAGCCAAGCCCGCCCATTCTAAGCGGGCTTATGGAAAGCCCATCGGGCCACCCGCCCAATGCCCAAGTCTAGTGTCAATAGTGCTAGAACTGGTCTAACATATCATAATGCATACACACCTATTAGAGTTAGCTATTGTGGTTTAAAAGGAGAATCAATTAGTGTCTAATACAATAATGATCATATATTATCAAACCAAAAGCTTAAACTTGCAAGTGAGAACTACACCAATATTTGAATCACATTTGCAAATTATAAAAGCAACACAAATTAATAAATAATACATAGCCTTGCTTAAGTTGAAAAGCACATTTTCATAAGCTTAACATCCTAATTTTTATTAATCATGAAAGAAAAAGTTGAGCATAATAAAACTTTTTCATGTTTATCACCATTTTTTCAATTAAATTATCTTAAAAACACTCTAAAATTTTTTATTATAATATAATAATTTGAGTTATATATACATCTTTTATTTTCATGAGTTATGTTATGTATGCATCTTTTATTTCCATTTTTTCTCCTATAAATAAATTTAAGATTAAATTAAAAATAGATGCGTTTGTATGTGTGCCGAACTTAATGTAATCCATTAAAAAACGGTAAGGAGCTGAAAAGACATGTGCTTAGAAATCATCAATTTATAGGAGTATATGAACACAATTGTGAAGAAGCTAAGCTTCAATATAAATGTATGATGATCTTATTTAATCCTATGTAACAACAAATAGAAACATCACAATTTAACAAGCTAAGGGTCTGTTAGGCGCAGCTTATTTGGTGCGGTGGCATTTTGAAAACGCACCTGAACCTGTTTGGGTAAACTGCGGTAAACTGCATTTGACAGCTTATGCATTTTGAAAACGCTGAAAGTAGCGTTTTCACACCGCACCTAGATAGGTGCGGTGGAAGCTTTCTGGCAGCAGTCTGATTTTTTCAAAAAAATTAAAATTTATAATAACCCTCGCACCTAGCTTATCAGCAGACTATTCAATAAGCTGCAGCTGCCCCAAACAGACCCTAAGCCAAAAAAGACCAAAGAAGATTACTATCAGCGCCACACAATTCTCACAATGTTTGTATTTAATGCACAAACTGAAGGCATCCCATAGTCAAAATTATGATGAAATAACAAAATTTTAAAACCTTTTTATGCTCTTAAGCCAAGAAATTCAAATGCAAGTCTCAAAATATTAGGTTATGCAATCCAAATCCATAATGTTAGAATAGTTTCAGAAAATGCATGTTTAATAAATCTGTATTAATGTTCTTCTGTATAAACACCTTAGAAAAGTTTGCATCTGGCCAAACATGCATAAAAGCACTTAAACACAAACTTAATCCCCCAAGGAATCCACCTGTCTTGAAATTTCAATGACTAGAACTGTATAACAACCTCAATTAAATCAAATGTATTAATGCTAAAAACTATGGCATTTATAGTACCTAATGATACTGCTCCACCGCCCCCATCCTCCCTCCTCCCAAATAATAAAATCCACAAAAATGTATATTTCCAATTGCTCCACTCTAACTGGACACATTTTATCTATCCAAAGTGATAAAACATTCCTCAATATGTTTGCAAAAAAATTGGCAATTTTGTAAATTACTAGTATCTGAGAAGTTGTTAACTATTTTCTTGAACCAGATAAATAAGTTTTTATGGTTAAATGCTTGGTTATATTAACCAAATGATTTGAACAAACCTGAGATTTGTTCATAATGTTAAAGTTCAAAATTATTCCATTTTGATTGATTCATCTATTAAATATGTTTTTCATAGCATTCATTCATAGGCTTCCACATGAGGCTATCATAATGTTGTTGGCCAAAGCAAGTTCTAGTGGCCCCCATTCATATGGTCATGGCTATAACAGAAGGGCAATATGAAGCACAGATATGCTCGTTATGTACCAACTCTTTCCTTCAAGGACTTTTAGAGTCAAAAAAGAAGAACAAATAAATGAATAAATAAATTAGGACACTTTAAACATCTTTCAACAACAAACTCATGATTGCAAAAAAGGAGAAGATTACTTGAGAATATTAATTTGGAGAATGGCTTAAAGCAATGAGTGGTTAGTTGTTAGGTCAGTTAAAGGGACTTTTATTGGGGCTCCTAATAGAGATGTTGATGGATTAACCTATCTTGATATCTAGTTCTTAGTAACCTTGAGCTATACCACATAAAACAGGGAACAATGTGTCAACATGTTGCAATTAGGCAGAATCAATAAAATTATCTTCCATTTATTAATTTTTTGTAATTTTTAAGTTTTCAGTGGCAATTATTAATTTACACTCAAAAGCATTAAGTTCCAGTTCGAGTTGACTTGACCTACTAGAAAGCATTAACATAGCGAAGTCAAATTCACTGAATTAGACTTGCTAGCATGATCAAATAATTCAAACTTCCTTATCTACTCCATCTTAGGGGTTGACAAGGCACAAAGTTACTGAGAGCTTTCGCATATAGCTCGTTAGGACTAGGCTAATGAAAGAGGAAGTTGGCCAGCAACTTCATAGGTATACTCATATTTAGAAAGTTTTAATGCGTGTTTAAGAGCCATAGCTATGTTATCTTAATTTTATGTAAGTTATTATAATGCAATATTATATAATTTGTTCATTTTGCTTGAATGTAATATTTCTTACGGAGCTATGCCTTTACCCTAACTTTAAATAGAAGCTTAAAAGAAAAACCTAGCAAAAGAATGTCTCCAGTTATATACTTTTAGGCAATAATAGGGAATCACACAACTCTCTTGTTTTCTCTTTTCACAATCTTATTTCTATGGATCAGCTGTTTTCTGCAAATAAATTTGAATTCAGCAATTACCACATTGATATATTTCAAGAAACAGGTTGGTGCATCACAGCCACTTTGGCAAACAAGGATGAAATTCAAGAGTAAGTGTCAAGTAGTCTTCTCTCGCTCATTTTGGTCCATGTAACTCCAACCTTACAAAGCTGTCATGAGTTACGACAAACCAACGTTTATGATTGCTTTCATGAGATGTTCAATAAAATCCATTCAGACCCACTAAAATATAATACATCTCCTATAAAACTTAATGTAGAGGTCATTTTTTTAATCAAACCAGAATTAACCTAACCTATTTGAGTAATATTGAGCATAAATATTTAATTCGAAAATCATTTTAGATTATTTTCTTCCTTATAATGGCTTACCAAAAAAATTTGAAATGAAAATTAATAAAATTAATTTCACTTGGGAAACATTAACAAATGGCTGTAGTCTATCGGCAAAAGGTAGTTATTTCTTTATTAAATTATTTCTTTCAACCATCTATTCAAAATTATTTAAACTTCTAGGGTAACAATAAAACTTTCAAATGATAAATGGGCTAATAGGCCAACTATGAGCCGATTGAAATTATCCCATTAAAACATATACCCATTGAAATTATTAGAAGGTTGACTTCATAAATGAGTTAGCTTGATCCACTTGAAAGCCCCTCCAAACCTTAACTAGCATCAGCAGGTGCTTCAACAAGGCTTCACTGACAATGCTGCGATCGACAAATGAAGCTTTTTTATATAATTTATTTCCTTTTTATTTTGTGTGCAAGAGAAATAATTCCATTATGCTTGCAAATAGTTTCATACTTCCAGGAAACAAGGTTGTCAAAAGAGAATGGAAAATCACTGTCATCATATTAAACTAAAATGTCGCTACAAAATTTTGAACATAAATATGAAATGTACCATGCGTTTATTTTCTGAAGTTGACCAGTCGTAAGAATGTTTGTTACAAAATTAGGCTCTGTATTATCTAATCAAGTTCGTGCAATAAATATACATAAGCATTGAGGCTTTCTTTATGAAGAGAATGGGGAATATATTAATAATAACCAAGAATGAAAATGGGAGAACTATTAACAGGACTATACAAATTCATGAAGAAAGGAAACGAGATTTGGTTGCTCCGTCAATTTAATCAATATATACAATGACCGGTTGATAACCGTGACAAGCAACAAGCCGTTAACCTGAAAAATATAATAACACGCCATAAACTAGATATAAAGTAAAAGGCAATAAACAACAAAAAGAAAACAGAAGAAGTGGGAATAATGTAATGAAATGGCACAATTCAAACTACCTAGCAACCTAAATGAAAACAGAAAGATTACAAATAGTTTTCACCGCGATGAGGTGAATGATAATAACAGACACGATTATCACAGATAAAGGGATATCAAAAGCTACTTTACTTTCCACTATTATCTGTCTTGTTTTAATCCTGGTTGTGGGCTTGTCCCCGCCACTAAATTCAAACTGTCTATCAATGTTGGCACACCGACTATCCTCGCTTCCAATGTTCTTGAAAATTTGACCGGTACATACAACTTCCATTTCCCAAAGCAATGGGACAACCAACTGCTTGCATCCTCCTTTTGGTGCCCATAGCTCTTTACATGATAGTTTTTGTTAGGAATGTGGACTCTTCCCACTTCCTTTTCTCTTTGGTTGATTTTGACTGGGCCCATGTTTTTACTCGTTAGGTTTCTTTTACTGCATATTTTGTAATCTCTTTTGATATATTAATACAAATGCATATTTCAAAGAATCCAAATTGTCTGGTTATAACCACCTCTATTTTTTCTATTTTACAAGAATAAAGAGTTTCCTATAAGAGATATCGCTATCTTAGTAATGAAGAACTAGCATGTTACGTTATTCTCATTTCGCTCTTGTATATTCTTCTTCCTTGGATTAAAAACATGTTATCAGAGTTTTTTGCTTTGCAGAAATTTAAAAAAAATCTATCCATATCGCTGCTACTTGATTCCTTATGTGATTCCTTCTACATATCTGCAAGCTTCACTTATTCCTGTCAATCGTGACCAACTCTTCTACCTAAGCAACTACCATTCCCAATCAAGAGAATGGCCTTCCCATCATAATGAGTGCTACACCCATCCCGCCTCGACTAAAGTTTCTGATGGCAAACATAAAAACAAACACTTATTGATGAAGTTTCTATTATCAATATACCGATGTCCAATCTATAGCTTTTTCTTTATAGATCAAAATTTGGCTTCTGCCCTATGCTCCACCATATCTTCCTCTATTCTACCCGTGGTACTTGAGTCTTGCGTGGACATATGGTTAAACCACAATACCACTCAAAAATTAATTCCATAACAATTTATCAAAAATTAAACGATAATTGCATAATAACTTTAAGAAATCAAAGCTGAATATGATCTTTTGCAGACTCAAGGGCAGCATTAGATGCTGAAGGCATCCTACTATACACATTGAATGGACTCCCTCCAAGCTATAAAGTTTTTACGACTGCCATATGGACTAATCTACAACTCATTAGCCTTCATGATTTGTACTCATTACTATGTAGTGAAGAAACAAGTCAACCAATGAAGTAGCAAGGAAATCTTACATAGAACCGAAACTGCAACCACATTTGGCTCTGTTTGCTAATCATGGCCAAGGCAAGTGCATCATTTCTTCTCCACTTCAGCTCGGGGATGTAATCCCTACAAAGGAGGACGTAAGCGAGGCTGTAATCAAATACCTATAGAATGCAAAATTTGTGGCAAGGTTGGGAACTCTACAAAAATTTGTTAGAAAATATATCAACCTTCAATACAATCTCCACACCGTGAACTCTTGCCATGTATGCCCAACCCTCCCCAACTACCATCGTTTGTCTACTTGACAGGGATGCTACTTCTAATTTCATAACTGATGCCAACCAAATATCCACTTAACTCCATAAAATAGTGCTGATCAAGTTACATTAAACAATGAGCAATCCATGTCAATGGCTAACATGGATCAAGGCATTTCACCGACCACATCCCACAAGCTAAACTTAACTTCTATATATCATGTTCCAATTCTTTTTTCATGATTTGATCTTAGTTCACTAACTTAGCTCTGATAACCAATTTCTATTACCTTAGATGCTATCAATTACACCAACAAGACCAGAGGACTCTACCCACTTTAGCCATCTCCTAAGCCTCCACTGCTATCGATAAACATACATGCTTGCATCTCTACTTTGTTTGCACTTTGGCATCGTCAACCCAGATATGCATCTACTACAATATTCCAAAATCTCTCAAAATCCATCCTCTAATTATGTGCTTCTTCAAAAATTTTTATTTGTCATGCATGTTCGATGCAAACAATCACATTTCTCATCTAGAGCATAGCAAAATCATAGTATTAGATGTGCAATACAATATTTTGATTTATAATGTGTGAGGGTTTCGTTCCCCTATCTCCTTTTAAAATAATGTATTAAAATCGACATTAATCAGTTCAAATATTTTATTATATTTTGGGTACAATTAGTAATAGAGGTTCACATTAGCCAGATGGTCAAATAAAAAAATTTAATTTTAATTACTATTACTAAGGGAAATAAATAATAAATCTAAAGAGCCACTAAGAAAATAAAATCTAAATCAATTTAAAATAAAATTGTAAATACAAATATGGTTCTCATTTGTCCGCATCTGCAACTATGATTTTCTTCTCTTCTATTCATTTTCTATCAAATATTTGTTAGTTTAAATTATTCTAAATTATCAACAACTTAATAAATACTCATATCCCTAAAATTAGAGTAATATTAAATAATTAAAAGATAATATGCATGTTTTTAAATTCTACAAATCAATATAATATCAATTGACAATTTATTTATTCAAACATGATCATACAAAAAAATTTAATTATTCTACCATTCAATCAATAATATCATATGTTATCAATAACTTATATATTACATCTATCATAAGAGCATATTTTAAAGTATGTCATCCAAAGTACTTCAATATTAACATGTTCTTAGTATATGTGCAAATGTACCTTAGCATCTTTAATTAGTATTCTAAGGGTGTAAACCACAAGCATGTGCATGTAAGCATTCTATATAATTCATTTCATTCACATTCATATCATATTGAGAGAATCTATTTCATTCATTTCGATATAACTACTTCTTCCAATAGAGGAGACAAAATCATGAGTAATTTGTTGTGCCAATCTATCTAAATAAAAACCAATATTGTCTAATACATCTAGGTTAGATAAATCAAAAATATTACTATAATTTAAAAATATGAGCACTCACCTCAATTTTTGATGACTTACTTTACCACATTTTTAATTCTAAGACTCAATCTCCTTTAATTCTTAAACATTTTAAATCTCTAACATGTATTCCTATAGTTTTCAAAGAATTTCAACACAAAGGATTAAAAGAGTTTAAATGTTATGCATGATTCTGAAAGAAAAAATACTTTACAATAAAAAAATCAAACCAAAGGCGCAAAATAAAGGAATAAAAACCAAGTTTTGATGCATGACTTGTTTCTAATTCTTGATCTCCAAACAAAATCTCTTCCTCACTCAATTACAACTTGCTCTCAAACTCACACTAAATGAAAGGAAACCACTCTCATACTACAATAATTGGTCTTCTGAACTCGTCCTTCAGTTTCCCTCTCTTCCTCCTTGGAGACTCCTCCCGAGTGTAATGATGTCAGAGATCCTCCCTTGATAGATAGTCTCCATTTACTTTTATGTCAATCGGATTGCCACAACAGTCACCAGAACGCGGAAACCATATAATTTTAGTAAGGAGTCGGTGCGTTGGCCAGTAGACACCGGAGCTATCGATGAGCTACAATGCTTGGATCGATTGTTGAGTTTCCTGCCCTGATTCATCAAATTATGGCATTAGGAGTCGAGAGGTTGGCTCCTATGGCGTGGTGGCACTTGCCCAATAGCACTAAGAGGTCTTGCTCTGTCTTTTCTACTAATTTGGGTTGGTTGCATGACACTGTCCTCTAGAGCTAGAGCACTTGACTCGAAGGGTTGTAATGTCATCTTATATGGGTTTTCACACGTATAGGTTGTACTCTAAGCGCTCAGGTGCCAGCCATAGGCGTCGGAGTATTTGGCTGTTGATTTAGCTCATTTTGTGCTCCAAATATTCCAAGTCCTAATTCTCCCTGTATATTATAAATAATACTTTATTCAAGAAAAAATATGAGCATATTATTACTTATAAGAATGAACTAATAAAATACAAATTGATTATTTTCTTATGAGAATAAGATGTCGTTGAAAATGTAAAGATTGTTTTCAACTGAGGATTTAAGTACTCAACATTGATTATTAGTTCTAAATTTTTAGATGAAGAGTTGTAAAATAAATAATACTAAGAATTATTGTCGTAGAATTAGATGTACCCGGAGAATCAAAAGAAAAAGTTTCTAAGTAACAAACACTATTAAACAAGTGACAAAAGATGTACCCGGAGAATCAAAAGAAAAAGTTTCTATAAATAAAAATAGTTTGTGGTGAAATAATAATGTGCAAGAAAAAATAAAATGTAAGAAGTTATGTTATAAATTGGTTTAAAGGTAAAAGCTTAGAGAATTGGGAAAATATAAAATTGTTCGTAAGGAGCCTAAGAGAACAATCTGTGATGCTAAAATTATGTTTTTAGTGATCTTTATAATAGATTAGGTACTAAAAAGCTGAAAAATACATGTATATACTATTCAAACAAAGAGAAAAGAAAAGTAAAGATTTAACTCGAGTAAAACTATTAAAGATAAAAATCAAAAAGTGTTTTTCTTAGAAAAATATATTCAACATAGAATGGTGAGTTATTTTGATAAACTTTTAATAAAGTTTTTGAAAATACGATCAACCTTAGTGATCTTAATATCATTAATAATAATAAAATATTTCATTCTTACTGTCACACAGAGTAAAAAAAAAAAGTTGAGGAAGCTTTAAGGAAAACCAAGGATAGAAATTCTGTGATGATATCCCAATTGAAGTGGGGAAATATATAAGAGAATTGAGAGTTTCTTGGCTTACTGAACTCTTTAATACTATTTTAAAAACTGAAAAGATGCCTAAGTGGAGTAAGAGTATTTTAGTCCCCATTTAAGAATGAAGGGGATGCACAAGAGTGTGCAAATTCTAAAGGAATTAAGTTGATGTGTCATACATGCAAACTATGGGAGAGGGTAATTGAACATAAATTAAGACATATTACAAAGATTTCTCATAATCAATTTGGATTTATGTTGGGCGGATCTAATATGGAAGCTATACATTTATTGAGAGGTTTGATGGAGAGGTTCAGAGAGAATAAGGAGGATCATCATATGATTTTTATTGATTTAGAAAAAGCTTACAATAAGGTCCCAAGAGATATCCTTTGGAGAGTTCTGGAGAAAAAAAAGTGTTTATATGACTTATATTCAAGTCATTAAAGATATGTATACTAGAGTTATTACTTGTGTTCGAATAGAAGGATTGACAAAATATCTTCCTATTTCAGTTGGATTACATCAGGGATTGGCTTTAAGACCATATCTTTTTGCTTTAGTTATGGATGTTCTTACTAGACAATTACAGGAGAATGAACCTTGGAGTATGTTTTTCGTTGATAATATCATTCTCGTGGATAAGACTAGAGAAAAGGCTTGGGAAAAACTTAAATTTTGGTGGTCTACATTGGAGCCTATAGGCATTCATTTGAGTAGAACTAAAACTGAATGCATGAAATGTAATTTTAATAGTAGCTCTAGTGATAGAGTTGTAACTATGGGTGATCAAATTATTAAAAGATGTGAATGTATTAGATATCTCTAGTCTGTTGTTCAAAGTGATGGCGATATATATGGGGATGTTATAAGTAGAATTCAAGTTGGTTGGTTGAAGTGGAGGAATGTTTCGAATGTGAGGAATGTTTCGGGCCTATTGTGTGATAGAAAAGTACCACTTAGACTGAAAGGAAAATTTTATAAGATAGTGGTGAGACCTGCAATGCTCTGTTGCGCTGAAGAGAAGCATAAAACTAAGTTATGTGTTGCCGAGATGAGAATGCCTAGGTGGATGAGTGGCTTTGCACTTAGAGACAAAATGCGAAATGAATATATCCGTGCTAGGATTGGTGTAGCTCCAGTGGGGACAAAAATAGAGAGAGTTGTCTTAGATGGTTTGGTCACAATAAACGTCGACCATCTGATAATCTGATTAGGAGAGTAGATGTTTTATATTCTACTTATGTTAAGAAAGGCAGAGATAGACCTAAAAATGCTTGGGCATATTGTATAAAAAATGATCTTAATTTATTAGAATTAAATGAAAATATGACACTCAATAGGACACGATGAAAAAAATAGATGAATATATGTTGTTGTTTATTGTTTTATTGTAAATAACACTATATATACCCGAGAAAAATATAAAAAAGATACATAAAGAGTATGAAAAAAATAGATGAATATATCAACAAATTTTATAAACATTGTGCCCCTGTTGCAAACCAACATGCTAAGCAAGCTCAATTCATTTAAGTTCCATTAAAGTTATGTTAAACATGTCTGAATTGCTTGTTAAGTAAGCAAGGTAAGAAAAATAGAAAATAATAATTTACACTTAAAAAACGTAAAATTTAATCAGCTTTAGAACTTAAATTTTAATTTTAAAAGAC